AAAAAAAAAAAAAAAAAAAAAAAAAAAAAAAAAAGATGGAGAAGAAGGTAACAGAAGAAGAAGAAGGAGAAAAAAGAAAGAAGTCGAGGAAAGAAGAAGTGGAAGAAAAAAAAAGACTCAACAGCTTACCTCCGCGACGCGTATTGCTCCGCCGTGTCTCTCTCTCTCTCTCTCTCTGGCAGTTACGAATGTGACCTCGCGGTCGTGACCGCGACCTCAACAGTCACGAATGTGACCTCAACAGTCAGGTAGCGAGAGGGTGAGGAAGAGATGGTGGACTTAGAAGAGGAAGACGAAGAACTCTCTCTCTCTCTCTCTCTCTCTCTCTCTCTCTCTCTCTCTCCCCACGTGTGCAGCCGTTGACAACAACAAAACAGCAACAGGTATTTTTGTTGCTGTTTCAGATAGATGGATGCATTTATCTGAAACGGCAACAGGAATGCCTGCAGGCCGTTGCTGGTTCCGTGACATCTACGAAAAGGCCCGAAATGGGCCTGTCTCACAGAATCAATTTTCAATGACGGAACCGACATACAAAAAAAAGCAAAACACATGGGGCAATGGAAAGCCAGTAGACAATATAAAAAAAAAAAATAAAAAAATTTGCCCTTCGAATTCTTTTTTTTTTTTTTTCACTATTCTCTTGAATATTTTTTGTAGCGCTTTAACGGCATGGGTTGTTGTTGAAAAAAATACAGGGGTGTAGGGTTTTCAAAACTGTACATCCCTGTATTTTTTTTTTTCTGATTTTTTTTGTACGAATTAAAAATACGCAAAAAACAGGACCGTGGCCTCCTGCTCGCGGCCGACCTCAGCGGTCGGGATCCCGACCGCGGGCCGAGAAGGACCCCGCGGTCATGACCGCGGGGGATTCATAGCCGTGTGATTTCGGGCGACGACATCCGTGAGTAGCAGCGAGTTGTAGCGGAGTTGGTGACGGTCGTCCGCAAGGACATTGCGCCGATTGCGGCGACGGGAGCGACTATCCTTACAGATGGTCGCAAGTTCATCACGAGTGACGAGATAGTTAACTTCCTTGCTGCTGGACTCTCGAGAGCCTACCTTCTCAGGACTGTGCAGTGGGACGGTGCTGTTCAGGAAACAACCGAGGCCGTGGTGGAGCGATGGAAGGACGTGTTCGACAAGTTCGGTGTCGAAAATGTCAACGCCATTTGCACTGACTACACGTCGGCGTATATAGCTGCTTCCAAGCTCCTCGCGAAGGAGGAGGTCCAGTACAGCCGCATCACTTGGCTTCCTTGTGCGGTCCATGTCTGCAACTTGTTGTTGTCAGACATCGTGAAGGACGACACCAACAGGAAGGTTGGAAAAAGGGAGGACACCATCATCAGGGCTCGAGCGGTCGTGCATTTCATCAGAGAGCAGGGGGCGGCTCTCAACCTTTATCGACGGTACTCTTTTACCCACCCGTCTTCCGCCTCCGCAGCAGCGGCCAGTTCCAGCGCTGCACCACCCCCGGCTCAACGACGAGGCAGAGAGCTTGTGTACCCCGCGCAGACGAGGTTTGCCACACACTATTTGATGTTGGAGAGGTTGTTGGATCATCGTAGAGCACTGGAGACGTTAATGATGAGCGATGATTGGTTGCGGACTGCATGGAGGAGGTCCATTTTCTTGCAGGCTAAGTGGGTGCGTCATCAGGTGCGGTACTCGCCATTTTGGGAGCACGTGGAGGACATCGTGGAGCTGATGACGCCTGTGACGCAGTTGCTACGCCGTTTGGACAGAGGGGGACGCGTCATAACTCGCATGTGGTCGTGGGTGCTTACCATGGTTGAGAGGGTGGCCATAGCGAGACTAAACAGGACGTCGAAGGAGGAGCTCCACATCGTCCTTCAGGCTTGTCAGGCGCGGGTGGATCATATGTTGGAGCTAGCACATTGCATGGCCCACCTCCTCAACCCGCACCACAGGAGCATCACGTTTTTCAGAGCGGTGAGGCAGACCGAGCACGACAAGACATTGGCTGAGGAGGCACTGCGATACCTTCGCCAGCAGACTGGCGATGACGAGGATTTGTATCAGACGTTGCGCACACAATTGGCGAAGTTCCATAGTCGAGAGGGCGATTGGACATACGAAGGGTGTGAGGGTGACAAGGACGCGACCTCCTGCAGAGGGGAGAAGAAGACGTCGCAGGTCAGGCAGTGGTGGGTGCAGCACGGGGACGGGGTCCCTCTCCTTCAGAGTTATGCCATTCGCCTGATGCACACATGGACGTGCGCCTCTCCCGCGGAGAGGAACTGGGCCGTCCATGAGAGTGTTCAGGTGAAGAGGCGTAACAAGCTTGGTTTCATCAAGCTTACTCGATTGGTGGAGATATCCACCAACTTGAGATCGAGTCGTTGTCAGGGGAGGGGTTCAGGGTACGTTCTGCCATGGGAGGACGATGAGGAGACGGAGGACGCTATTCCCTGCCTCGTGACGAGGGTGTTCGGCCAGCTGACTAAGTCACAGAGGCGCAGCACGAGCGGCAGGTGCAGCGCGGGCAGAGGGATCGCCTTTCGAGGGGCACCGCCTAGTGTGGAGACGTATTTCAGTCGTCGCGCCACGATGCTCATGCCGACTTAGTTGGACTCGGTCTACGATCCCGAGCCTGATCCTATGGCTCAGGACCCGATTGAGGCGGAGCCGTGCTCCGATCTAGATGACCTGGTGATGGACTTAGAGCCCGAGGGTTCTGATGAGGATCGCGACGACGCTCCTCTCACCGAGACGATGCGGACATGTGGTTTCACTCCAGCCCCTGCGCCGCCTCCCCCCCCACCTTGACCTTCGAGTGCTCGTGATGTTCCATTGCGAGGCATTGAGGATCGGGTTGGAGGCACGATTCCACACCCTCAGACAGATTGTCTTGGACATGACAAGCAGGGCAGTCGGGGAGATCCTGAGGAGGGAGACGACGATGACAACGGTGTCGGGAGGGGGTGCGAGGGCAGCCGTGAGGACGATGATGATCCCGACTATTCCCCGACACGCCGACTTGCTGACGACGACGACGAGGGCGGCGACGATACACAACCTGTTGGTGGTTTACGGAGGTCCGAGAGAAACTGTGGTGACCGTTGCAGTGGTGCAGGCTGGGGAGGTAGCGGGCCGGGTGTTGGGGGTGCAGGGCACACAGGTGGCGCAGGCCGTGCTGGTGGAGGACGGGGGAGGCGAGAGTCTGCATCGTCCACTCGCGTTGTACACTGGGATGATGAGGGTGCCGCGACAACACAGGTTGTTGTTTCGTCGGCAGAGGTCGCAGCCTCCCCGCAGAGCTTACTGAGGTTGCAGCCGGGTCTGCAAAGGTTGCTGCCGCGTAGGCAGAGGTTGCAGCCGGGTCTGCAGAGGTTGCTACCGCCCGCGCAGAGGCTGTTGCAGTGTCGAGAGAGATTGCAGCCAACTCTGCAGAGGTTGGTGGCGCGGCTACAGAGGTTGGGAGGGCATCTGCACAGTTCGGTGCCACTTTCAGCGATGACATGTTTGGTGCTTCATTGGGGCTTCCTCCGACGCCGACATGCGAGAGTGGTAGTGGTGGTGTGGACGCACAAGCTACGGCCGCTATGCCCATCAGTCAGATCCTTAGAGGCTTGCCTTCATGCAGCGTGGGTGACATCAGCAGCAACATGTTGCGGGAGGTAGCGGAGGAGACACAGGGTTCGTTGGGGAAGCATGAGCATGTAGTAGGGGATGATGGGGAATGTCGACCTGTGCAGGAGCGAGTGCTAGAGTCGGAGCAGGAGAGGACTGACCACGAGGAGAGGGAAAGGGCGCTGGAGTTGGCTAGGCGTTGCGAGATGACACAGACTATTGAGGCGCAGGCACGTGCAAAGCGGATGCTCGAGACGGGTGATGGTGCCGGCCATTGTACGGCGGAGGATGCAAAGGTTGAGTGTGGCGGTGCGGTCGATGGGGATGCAGGCGAGAGACCTGCATCGCTAGTTCATGGTGTTTGTGTATTGTCATTCGCTTGAGCTTTGTCGGCGGGGGAGTTATAGCGGCAGGCACGGGAGGACCCATTGCGGGCAGATCGACGTGGACGGATGGATGAGGCGTCGAGGAGGGTCATGGCAGAGGGCCCTGCTTATGTGTCGTGCAACCCGTCAGTGCGATCGTTTACCACAGATGTCATTCTGCCCACACATGTTGAGGGTTCAGGCACGACACCGAGTCCCGCATCGACACCTGGAGGGGAGTCTCCTTCTCCCAAGTTACGAAAGAAGAAGATGAGAGCAGGAAAGAGTCTTAGTATTGTGAGGAGGGTGACCCACCAGATGCAGGCAAGTCAGCGTGGGTTGGCCGGTTTACATCCGTGGACTCGGGAGGCATTGGACGGGTACGTTGTCGCGAATGCAGTAGGTTGGCGGGAGAGGGTCTCTACCCGGGGATGGAGCAGCCGATGAGCGCACCTGCTGAGGTGGCGGTGCCACGTCCTTGAAAGCGGACTTCCACTACCGCTAGGGAGGAGCACGACGAGCACAGTTGCCCCCCGGGGAGGAGCATGGCCGGACGTATATTGGGGGTGGATGTAAGGGCATTGATGACGCAGAGATCGTCACAGACACCTGTCGGTTGGGAGTCGGGTACTGACGATTAAGAGATGTCTGTCGGCCAGCGGAAGAGGGTTTCCGTATACGACCTTCTTCGAGCATGGGGCAGGGTCAAGGTGGCGGCACAGGAAGGGATTCATGCTCTGGACATGGCACACGGGCCCGTAGGCGGCACAGGTGGCGGGGATGGTACCATTAGTGTGGCGCCGCAGAGGAGGAGGAAAGACATTGTGGACGACGATGATGCTTAGTCCCACAATTGGTCCTCTTTTGTCCTCTATTTCCTAGTAGTGTATAGTACCTTTAGTGCTTCAGATGAGGTCATGTGTTTATAGGTGCAGTATGTGCAGCTCGTCATGACTGGATGTGTATTCGTATCGATGTTTCATGAGATTGCACATTGTCTTCATACATAGGTGCAATAGGTGCAATTTTTTGTTTTTTTTCGCTTTTCTTTTTCTATCGATGTTTTAGACGATTGCACACTTTCTTCATACATAGGTGCAGTAGGTGCAATTTTTGTTTTTTTTCCTTTTATTTTTCTATCAATGTTTCAGACGATTGCACACTTTCTTCATACATTGTTTGACTGAGTTCACTCTCCATGTTTCTCTTATTGTGCAACTATTTTGCCTTGTTTTCATTGGCCCATCATGTTCTAGTTTCGAAATTTCTGCAATGAATGTCACTCAATGCTTTTCAAAATTGCCGTTGTTTTAAGTAGGCGCAACTTGATGCAGTCTTCAACTTGTTTCGTCATGTGTTTCATTCGCCTCTCATGCAGTTGTCAGTAACCCCCAGACGACCCTCCCCAACCCCCGAAGAGTCGAAGACGACCTTGGCATAGCCGTTCCCAAGACCTGACCCCTTGCTCCCCCCCCCCCCCCCCCCCCCCCCCCCCCTGCCCCCCCCAAACCTTTCCCTCGCCAAACCCTTCTCATCCCCCAAAAACGACCTTGGCACTGCGATGGACTACACCTCAGAAAAACTTCCCGAAATGAGCCCCTCCCCAGCCCCAATTTTTATATATATATTTTTTACAGCTCAAATACATCCACCCACCCCCCCCAGTGGCGAACCCCCCCCCCCAAAAAAAATTATTTAACCTCCACTCCCCCCAACCTAATAAAAAAAAAAAAAGTTGTTTTTTAAATTTTTTCTCAATTTTGTTTTTTGCAGATGGACTCCCCCCGACACCTGACACCCACCCACCCCAAAAACACTCCCGAACCCCCCTCCAAGACTGCGTACGGACGACCGGAAGTCCATACGTATGGTCCGTACCGGGCCTGGGGGCCCGTACGTATGGTTGTACGGGAGTACGTACGGCCCGTTTACACTGGACTGGAGCATCGGGCTGCAGACATGGACCAAATGTTCCTTTCTCCACATAGGTCGGCTGTGACGTGGATTTCTCGTGTGCAGCAGCCCGGTTGGTCTTGATGATCTCACGGGCCTCGTCGATGATTTCGGCGAAGGTCGTGTACTTTTTGTGATCACCGAGAGCGAGGCTCAAGGCGGCACACGACCGGTTGTAGAACTCACGGCACCGATGCGAAAATGGCAACTTGAGATCGGGTGTTGCCACGATCTTTTGCCATTCTATGAGCCAATCATGTGTTGATGTGTTGCCTTGAGTCATGGCGAAGAGGAGGTTCATGACGAGTGTCTGGGCGCCGTCAACGATGAACCGCTTCGTCTATTCCTTCTTCAGATCTTCCCAAGAGATCTTTTGGTGCAGGTCGGCGACCTGGACGCCATGGATGGTTGCCATGTGGGTGAGCCAGATCTGGCATCCACCCTTGGCGTTGAGGAACAACATCATCGAGATGTACAAGTGGTCGGGGACCCGATGAATCCGAATCTCCGTCGTAAAGCCTTGCCACATGATGATTGGGTTCTGATCCAGAACATCGGCATCATGTACTTCCGCGGTGCACCGGTGCTGCCATCGTTGGTGGGCAGCTGCTGTAGCTGCCTAACCTTGGTCTTCAAGGTGCCAAGCTCGTGGCTTGTGCGATGAAACTGTTTATGTCGCCGAGCATCGTGAGTACATGGTCGAGTCGTTGCTCCAACTGGCGAGTTGAGGCTGCATTGTTGGGTTCGTCAGCATCTGGTCTTGGTGCTGCTTGCTCCAAGTCCTCTACACGGGTATGAAGTGCCCGTGTGGCACCCTCATGCAGACCCTTGTGGTTCCGCACTGCCTGTCGGAGATTCTCCAGTTCCTAGTGTTGTTTCTCTAACTCGGACTGCAGCTGGTTACAAGTGTAAACCAACCGGGTCATGAGTTTGGAGAGGAAATCCTTGTGTTGCTCTTCCGGTGTTGGGTCGTCGTGGTCCTCGGATGGTTCAAAGTGGCAAAACTTGAGCCTGTCGACACTGGCAGCTTCGTGTCGCTGCAGCAGATCTCGGGCCTGCTTGCAGCGGGCCTGGGCGTCTGCGTCAGCTGCGGCCTGAAGCCGCTGCTTTTCAGCCGCTGCCACTACTTCAGCCTGTAGGCGGGCAGCCTCGGCTTCCGCCTGGCGCTGTTCCGCGGCCTCGATCTGCTCGAGCTGATCTTGGACCCGCTTGCGGAAATCGGCAATGGACTCACTGACAAGTTGGCCCGGCATGCCCAAAGCTGGAGCCGGCATGGTGACGGCACTGACGGGGTAGTGCTGCCGTGGCACTGCTGCTGTTGTGGCACTGCTGATGACGTGGTACTGCTGACGTGGTACTGCTGACGTGGCACTGCTGACATGGCACTGCTGACGTGGCACTGCTGACGTGGCACTGCTGACGACGTGGCACTGCTGCTGACGTAATACTGTTGACGTGGCACTGCTATCATGGCACTGCTGACGTGGCACTTACCAAACCGGGGCAATAGACAAAGGGCTGGGTGGGAGGGAAACGCAGGTAGGCAAGCAAACTGCACTTGCCATTCCTCTTTTTTTTTTTTTTTGAATATCTTCAGTGAGGCATTTTCGGAGTATGACTGAGATCTAGGCAAGGTTCACAAAATTTCAAATTTCCAAAAATGTCATTTTGAAAAGAAAAAAAACGACAAGTTGTGCAACGCAGAACGGAGGTTCGAATTGACGAACTCCCTATCCTAATTAACCTAAATGCGCTGATCCGAAAATCTGAAATTTCCAAAATTTTCGGATTTCAAAAATTCCGGAATCTGGATTTCGCGGAATCGCGAGATTTGCGGAATTCCGGATTTCACGGAATCGCGAAATTTGCGGAATTCTGGATTTTGCAGAATCGCAAAATTTACGGCTTTGTTTCACCCCGTACGTCGTATGGGGGTTCTGTCGTACGGTCGTACGGATGGCCATATGGAGATGATCCCGATGGGCCTTCCTATGTAATACAGATCCCTGGTCACCTTCGTATTTACCCTGTCTTCCACACCTCCAAACTTGCACCTTTCGAGGAAACTGATCAGTTTCCCTCTCGGCAGTCTATGCTGCCCCCAACCATGGATGGAGAGGTCGACATCGACGACATCGTTGACCACAGGGAAATGCCGGTTCCAAGACCAACACGCAGGGGCCGTCCTCCAAAGCCGAAGCTGCAGTACCGCTTTCGGTTAAGACATCACACTGATCCTAAGGAGGACAGATGGTTTACAAGGGAGGAACTGATGCAGACTGCTCCACAGGTTGTCGCTCACTATGAGAAGGCACTGCAGAAAGGAAAGCGCCAGATTCAATGAACTTCTCAGAGGACTATCAACGTGTGGAGGAGGGAATGCGAGGCTAAAAGCCTCGGAAAGCCCTACTGGGCCCTGTTCAGCAAGAAAGGCCGCCCCAAGTGAAGGCGGGCCTGACAAGTGACGTGAGGCCCGTTTGTGTTTTGACGCGGCTGGGGGAAATTCAGGCAGTTGCGCAGCGTCAATTGGTTGAGCCCAGGCCCTGCCTGACTTTTTCAAATGTATCTGAGGCAGGCCCTGGGCCAAACACGGGGCATGAACTGAACACAGGCCGCTGGCAGTTGGATACGGGTAACCACCCCAGGCCCTGTGGAAGATTCCCTGGGACAGGGGCTCAGCCACTTGGGGCCTACCAGAAGCTTCCATAGGGGAGGCCCAAGCCAGCCAGGCAGCCCACGGCTGGCACCCACTTTCCATAAACGAAAGGGCCTGGCCGCTGGCCAGACATTCGGGCACTCGCTGCTTATGCGCAAGCGCTGCTGCGCCAGCTGCTGGAGCGCGTGCCTACGCGCTCAAGGCCGAGCAGGGAAGAAGCAGGCAGCCATAGCCGGGCTGGCCTGCGCGTCGCTGGATAAGGCGCATGGTGGTCCTTGGGTGCATGTGGCATCTGTGTGGAGGATCGAGGGTGTGAGTGAAGCGAGGGACATACCTGGTGCTTGATGTGAACGGCATTGGCCGAGATCTGCGCGTACTTCGGGAAGCTGTTGGCGTCACCAGCGGCATTGTAGATAGGCTAGATAGGATCTGCCATTCGTAGTCTGGGCGCTGAGCGCCAGATAGGGATTCGACATTGGTTCATTGTTGATGATGACGAGACTATTCCAACATGTCACGTGTGAGCTTTTGCTGTTCTCTTATTTGGTGGTACTCGAGTTGCAATTCTGCTTTTGGTTCGAGGTCAAGACTATCTGGTTTCATGTGTATGATGCTGCTTGGTTTTCTGGAATTCGCTATCGCTCATTTTCCTTGCACATTCAAGCGGGGCTGCTAAAAAAGAAAACAGACGCCAGCAGTGTAAGATCAGGACTTGTACTGCTTTTAATATCTTGCTAAGAATGAACTGGACAGAAGTGTGGTAGAATGAGACCATTGATTTGGAACGAATCAAATGCAGTCAAATTGAAATTCTAGTGAAATGAGACTTAATTGCCCTCTACCATCATACTGCGATGTCCCCCACCTCCTCTGACTCCCATCTCATGGAGATCGCTCTCTTCTGTGGTGTTGAACAGATTGCTGGAGCTGGACCAGGACATTTTACAGAACATGATCTTTGAGAATAATGAAGACTATTTGTCCAGTGTAGAGGAGCACATTGTGACAGATGATGCAGAGAAGGAAATTCCTTCGCAATCTACGGCAGCAAAGCGTGCCACCACAGTGGACTTCTCGCAGACAAACCATAATGATTCTTGACAGTCTTAAAAAAAAAAAAAAAACTTGTCAATTATATCAGCTTCGTAACATCCACAATCCTCTCAAGCCCTTGTGAACCGCAAAGTTTGATCCTGACTAAACGGTGCTGCGTTGCATCCCAATCTGAGGGCCTTATCACACTCATACTAGCCCTTTCCTCAATGTATATTATGACTGCAATTACAGCCATAATGTGATGCATCTGACCATGATCCGGTCCAGAGCTCATAGAAAAACTCGCATGGTTCACTATGGGCATTTAGCAGAACACGTTTTTTTTTCTTTTTTTTTCTTTTTTTTTAATGAACACGTGACATTGCATGCATGCATGAATGATCCTTTTTTATTTTTTTAACAAAACGGGCCCAGTGCCCAAGGCTGATATTACCAAATTGAATAAGAAAATTGCGGCCGGGGTCATCACAGTCTACCCGGAGAAACCGAACCGAACAAGCTGAGAACCGGGCTCAGCGTCCCTCCTATGATGATGATTATGCTGCTGCTGCTGATGATGATGATGATAATGAACTTCGACTGATTGTATGAGAAATGTGGGATAATGATACTAATGATGATGGTGATTAGTATGTTAGGTATTTTAGAAGTCAATGCTATATCAGCAAATCTAGCCTTCTAATGATTCTAGAACAACCCCTAACCCTCCCTGAACCAGGACATTAATCTCAGAGACAATGTCATCCTAGCCAACATCAACCATAGCTATCCTGTTCTCCCCACCTAGACTAAACCTGGACCCATAGGCTGTCCTGGTAGCACCCCCCAGTTCACCACTGGATTGTCTTCCTCCCTCGACTAATCCCCAGATCTCTCCGCAAGGTCTCACACTCCTGTCATTTGCAAGTTACAGGGCAACACCCCAGCTCCGGCCAGCATCGTTCTGGCATTGGCATACCAGGGGCACAGAACAAAGCAACTCCGTAGATATCAGCCTGGATTCGACCATCTCTTAAATCATATATCCCGAATGAGGAAGAAGGCCAAGTGCCGCCACGAATTACAGAACACCAGAAAAACTGGATATAACATGATTGACTAGGCTACCAGAGTGGCCCGGGGTCACTTGCCCGGCCAGGCAAAAAAAATTAAAAAAAAATAAAAATATAAATAATGCAAGGAAAAATGAGCAACAGCCAGATGACAAATCCAGATTACAGAATCACATTGAAAGCCAGATAGTTACACCGTGTCCAGAGAGCAGCAATGCACCAATAATACACCAATGGAGGTTCGTAGTACTGAAAACCAATGTCATGGAGAGCTTTCTCTCTCCTCACCAACACAAGAGTTCAGTCCCTTCACTCTCCTACTTGGCGCTCAGCGCCTAGCCTACTCCTACCTAGCTACGATCAGCCTACAAATTGACAACGCAACTGTTGACATCAGCGGCAACCCGAAGTACTCGAAGATGTTGCCCAAATGCAGACCATCGCCAATACAAGGTATGTGCCCTCACATCATCATCATCATCATCCTTCACCCTTCCCTGACTTTACACCCACGTCTTC